TGTTTCTTGTCCTGCCCTCTGGTGCGTTAGAAAATATGTTGACCCCCTCCTCTTTGTGGCAGCCTCTCAAATACTGGAATACTGCTATCATATCCCCCCCAGTCCTTTTCTCTAGACTAGCCAAATCCAAACCCAAATCCTGCAACCATTCTTCCTATGTTTTTAGTCTCCAGGCCTTTAATCATCTTAGTTGCTATTCTTCGCACTTTTTACAAAGTCTCAACATCTTTTTTTGTAACGTGGTGACCAAAAATGGATGCAGTATACCAGGTTGTGGCCTTATTAAGGTTTTATAGTACCTAATACTAGGTACTAATACTTCACATGATTTTGATTCTATGCCACTGTTTATACAATTTAGGATTGCATTAGCTTCTTTGGCTGCTGCTGCAGAATGCTGGCTCAAATTTAAGTGATCTTCTACTAGGACTCCAAGGTCCCCCTCACAGTTACTGTTTTTGAAACAGGTTTTGCCTAATCTGTACTTGTACCTTTGGTTTTTCCTGCCTAAGTATAAAACCTTGCTTTTCTCCACATTAAATTTCATTTTGTTGGACAAAATGAACAAGTTCCATTGTTCAAGTCTGTAAAGATCTTTTTGAATCCTGAGCCTATCATCTGGGATGTTTGCTATTCCTGCCAGCTTAATGTCATCTGCAAATTTGATGACTCACCTTCTATCCCCTCATCTAAGTCATTTATGAAGATATTGAAGACTACTGGGCCTAAGGACCATATGGTACCTCACTGCTTACTTCCCTCTATGTAGATATTAGTAACATTAAGGGCTACTTGTTGAATATGGTTTGTCAGCCAGTTACAAATCCATCTGGTGGTGATGCTGTCTATCCCACATTTTTCTAGTAGGTTGAAGTAGGCTGTGGTCTATTTTGTTGAATACTTTGCTGAAATCTAAGTATTGTCAGCTTTGAAAGCCATATCAGGCTAGAAGCTTCCATGCTGCCACTTTTTCATGTGTGGGAAAGTAGGAGTGGGATTTAGTAGAGGGGTTGTCTGTAGACATAATAACATTCTTCTTGTCGGTCAAGGTCAAGGCGATCCTGCATCAGGTCAGAGTGATGTCTCGAGATGGGACGGCGGTTGATTGGAGCATGTGATCGACTGAGGAGTGAGAGGATGGTTTTGGGGGTTTTGATTTACTGATGGAAAGCCCGGACCTCTCAGATTTGGGTTTTCCCAGATTTGCCAGTTTACCTATTCTAGTAAATAGAACTTTGAAAAATGCTTGCTTCAGAGTCTTTACTTAGAGTTGGGATTTTTTCTGGAACACTGACATTAACCCGAATCTCCCTTAAAGCATAACGGCACCCCAAAAGAGGGCTGTCGGGGGTGCTGAGTCCCAGCATCTACCTAAACTTCGGATGGTGCAAAGACTCAGTGAAAATGGAGGAGAAAGGAGAGATCGCAGAGGGGGCAGTGGGGACGGATATTCAAGGATTTACTGACACCCTGCTTTCTCCTTCTGAAGAAATGGTGCGAGCCATTGAGGCTGCAGAAGAGACCCAAAGGCTAAGTGCTCAGCCCAAGAAGTCGGATTCCGGGAAAAGTTGCCAGTCTGACCCAACTCCAGAAAGGGGACCAGAGGAGATAGTGCTGCTCCCAGCCCAATGAAGTCGCCCCATGAGCCAGAGTGGAGAAGAGCAACAGCTATAGGATCTGGAGATTCCCGGGACTGAAACCTGTTGCCCTCAACGCGAAGCTAATAGTTAACTGAGCTCCCTGAGTGTTTCGAATGGATGGAAGTGGGAAGTTACACACCCCCTCCCTACCTCCTCAAGTGAGATGGAGCTTAGTGCAACCTACATTCACCTTCCCCGATCCAGGACCTGGCGGAGGAATTAGCGAGGCGCAGGCATCTCTCTACCTGGCCAGGGGCGAAACAAGCGGATCAGCGCAGCATGGCCATCCTGCAGCTGGGAGACATCAGACGCAGACAGTATGGGGAATGCGAAACCCTCCTGCAGGGCCCCCTCACCAGCCTGCCTTTGTACTACCTCCTCCTGAATGTATACCCCCAGGCTGGGGATTCTATCCCGGCTAGGGGTGGGTCCAGTGCCAGTGGTATCCAGCATCGTCTGCTCCAATTTTCCAGGGATCCCCATGGCCCCAATATGGCCCAACAATCCCAGCACCACCACCAGGTGTCTGGTGGTGTTCCGCAGAGTGCTATACTCACAGCAGCCAGCTGGAGTCCCCCCCCCGCCCTCTCTGCAGCCCAGCAAGCAACTCAGCAGCCGCTCCCCCTCCCCTAGCAGCCGGCTGGAGTCCAGCAACCAGCAGCAGCTCCGCCAGAGGTTCCAGCTCAGCCTCCCGATGGCAGGCCCAATCAACCCACAAGGCCAATGCCAACCCCCTTCAGAGCAACCTTTGATGGTACTCCTGCCACACTGGCTTACTTCCTCAGCAGGGTCTGGGCTCATGTAGATCAGTATGGAGACCAATATGAGTCAGACTGGGACTTGGTATCGGCAATTTCTGACGGGATGAATGAGGGGGAGGCTTCTGAATGGATAGCCCAGCTGCACAATGAGGGCGCTGTGGAACTAAATGATGCAGATGGGTTGTTGTGCTGCTCTGGGCCAGATTTGAAGACCCAGATCGAATAAATGAAAATGAAGCCACACTAAAGGTGATGAAGCAAGGTAATTGACCCATAGAAGACTTTGTATTGGACTTTAGATGGGTCGCAGGGAACTTGGGGCACTGGCCGGACCGCATACTCCTACACTTTTTTAAAGAGGCCATTGATCAAGAAGTCAGGACAGTCTGTGGGTTCCGGGGGGTGCCTGAGTGACTGCACGACTGGTATATCATGTCCATAGCTCTAGACAGAGAAATTCACCCCTACCGCAAAACCCCAGCAGAGAAGCCTCCTCGGAAAGCTTTAGCTAGATGGCCACTTTCAAAGCCTGCTGAAGTCACCCCCCCTTAACTGGCAGGGGCGATTAAATGCTATCGGTGTGGAACATCGAGCTTCTGAGTGCCTGGCCCCTGCCCCAGTTCCACAACAACGTCCTGCCACAGCCGCTCAAGGCAGAAGGGCTCCAAGGAAGGCCCCAGACACTAGTCAATTTGCCAGACAAGCCGTAGAGGTTCCCCTCCCCACTGAAGAGAGCGAGGAACCACCAGCCAAAAAAGCCCCTCCCGACGAGGCTAGCAGAGATGAAGACCCGATGGTGAGTTCACCCATCCCCACCTTTCAATTAAAGTGAAACTGGTAGTGCCAGAGACAGGGAAGCAAGGAGAACTGCCAGCAATAATAGATACAGGCTGCACCAGATGTTTATTTGGACTTCCAATTGTTGAACAATTGGGGATCAGAACAACAGCCTTAAAGCGTCCAATTAAATTTCACCAGGTGGATGGGACGTTAATTGGAGGCTTCCCCGCCACCCATATTACAGAACTGGTTAGATTAGAAATCGGAAGATATCATGAATTTATCCAATTTATAGTAACCCCAAAGATGTCAGAATCGGTCATACTTGGCCTGGTTTGGCTGGACAAATGGGCCCCCACCATCAAATGGGAAGATAGATACTGGAAAATCATAATGGGTGTCAGCCCATTATCCCCTGCCCCTCCTACTCATAAGGGCGAGCTGCCAGAAACAGCAGATGCTTGTTCAGACAGGCCTCCACGTGAACCCAAGATTCCTAAGGTATATAGAGACTTAGCTGAAGCGTTCAGCGAGGAGGAATGTAACTCCCCCCCCCCCCTCATCGGCCTATGGATTGTGCCATCGAATTAGAACCAGGAGCCAAGTTGCCAAAACCCAGGATGTACTCCATGATGTCTGCTGAAATTACCAAGTTGAGGAAGTACATTGACACCAACCTAGCCAGAGGGTTCATCGAGCCTGTGAAATCCAGGATGGCCACCCCCGTATTGTTTAAAGAGAAGAAAGATGAGGGGCTCAGATTATGTGTGGACTTTAGGGGTGTAAACTGCATTTGCATACAAAATACCTACCCCCTACCACTAATGAAAGACTTGCTGAACCACTTTTCAAAAGTCAAGATTTTCATCAAGTTAGATCTAAGGGAAGCCTACTACCGGCTTCGCATAAAGGGTCATGCCTTCTGGACTCCAAGGGGCTCCTGCAGTCTTCATGCAACCGATCAATGAAGTTCTACGTGAGCACCTGTATAAGGGGGTCCTTGTTTACCTGAATGACATTCTTATATTCAGCAAAAATATGGAAGAACATGTCAAATTAGTCAGGCAAGCGCTGAAAAAACTCCTAGCGGCCAAACTTTATGTAAAGCTGTCAAAATGCGAGTTCCATAAGGAGTCATTGGACTACCTGGGATGCAGGGTGTCAAATCTGGACTGACTAAAAATAATCCGCCTCATCCAGAATTCTCCAAAGCTGCTATGCGATCAGTCTCTCTACCACCTTCGCCAAAAAGGGGAGGTTGGACACTTGTTGAAAACTGCCCTGGATCAAGCAATGGTCCTGTAAAGATGGGGCACACCAGCATCTCTTTTAAAGGTGGTGGGATCACTCCCTCTTTCAAGGAGTTGTTAACTATTGCCCAGTTCCATACATGCAATGCTTCCCACGAGGTCTTAATTAGCCAGAAGGGGCATGAATCTAACACACGTGGCTGAACTAGCAGCTGAGAGAGCTCTGTCCACTTCCTCATTCAACAGGCTCAAACTCCTCCCATATCATCTTGCAAGATGTAGCCCCCATCACCTCCATAAACTCTGCTCTAAGGGTGGATTCTGACATAGAGTAAATGTGACCAATTTTATCTGACAGATGCACAGCATATTCTTCATATCAATCCTTAAATTAGACTTCGGCATTGCTCCCTCTAAGGAGAGTCCAAGTCATCTAGATTATATAAATATTTCCTTGCTGTTTAAAATAAAATTATGACAATAATAATACACATTAGTAGTAGTAGTAATAATAGTAGCAGTAGTTGGAGCTTTTGGGCCATATAGAAACTAATAGAAATCTGGCTTACCTCCATTTAGGCTGGCTTCCACAAAGATGCGGATTGTTTTGACGCACAGCTCAAAGTTCTCAGGTGTTACATGAGCTGCATCTCGCACAATAAAAGATAAGGACTCAACACACTTCATGAGAGATTTGGTATTATGAGGACCCAGGTCCATTCCCACAGTCAGACTATACTGATTCACCAGGGGAGAATTTCCTAGTCTGGAAAGTCCAGCCATGGTTGAATTATCAATGTCATCTTTCCCAACCTGTGAAATAGAGATTATTCAAAGGTTAAAGGAAATCATATATTCTAACTGGTCAATTTGCTTTTTAAATATAATTTTTATTAAAAAATATAAAAATAGTAGAAAGTAATAGAACTAAACTTAGAGAAACAAAAAGAAAAAGAACAAAAAGTGCAGAGAAAAAAGAAGAAAAAGAATGAATATAATAAAAAAAAGGAAAAGAAATAGACTTCCAACCTTCATCACAACTATAAACCAATTTAATAACTCTTCACACCCTTTAGGTTACAAACAGATCGCTTTTCATTCCATATCCCATCCCCGATCTAAAAGCAAATTCATAAAATATCAATTTGTCAATCCTTGCATCAGCAAAAAGTCCAGAAAGGTTTGCTAGAATTTTGTGAAAAAGTTTTACTTTACCTTTGATCAAATAAACCAACTTTATATTCCCTTTTATTACTTGTCTTAATTTTTAACTCAATGATTGCTGTAGGATTTTTTCTTCAACCTTTATCCCATGAGACAGAGGTTTTACCAACCTTCTTTTGTAGCTCCCCCCACAAAAAATCCAGGTTTAAAAATCTTGTTTTATCATTTTTACTTTCCTTTTAATTTTTAAAACTTAATTTTTTTATATCAAGCAAATGTACTTTTCCAAATTATTATTTTGGCCTCTCATTTGTAGTTCTACTTTCAGTAGTTTCTCTGTCATGTCAGATAAATTTTTTTCCACATCCGTCATTCCTTCATTAAAATTTTTAAGATATAGTTTGTCCATAAAAACAGACATTAATACCAAAAGTATTGACATTGTTACTAATTTTGGGTCTGTTTTCAAAGATTTTCTTTAATATTTCTGATGTTATAACATTTTGTCATTTTGTAAATCCCAGTATTAACTGACATCAAGAATAGGGTTTTTTTTCCCTTCTGCTTAGAATCTTTAGTGTCCTCTAGTGTCCATTTTCTAAAATCATCATCTTTATTATGACTTGCAATAACTATAATAGACAAATTAAGTCTCTATTCCATGAGAAGCTGATTATTTTTTATAATTATTTCCAAAATTTTATTAAAGGCCAATATTCCAAATTTATCTCAGATTATATCTTATTTTTTGCTGTTTGTTTCAATATTCGTCAAGTTCTTATAATTAATTTTTCTTTTGTTTAGAGTTGAAGATAAAACATCACATGACTTACAAGCTTGTTGTTCCAAACATTTCTAGTATATTTAAGATGATTAATAGGCAATTTCTGAAAGTGATTAGAAAGTAAGGTTTGTGAACTTAATGTTCACAAATCCCCCCCCCCCAGGTTTGTGAGCAAGACAGGTAATCTTATTGTATCATAATGTTCAAGCCTGCTGAAAATTGCTATCTGATAGACAACTCCTTGCAATAAGCAGCTGTTTGAAGCATATGTGGATGATTTCCTGTTTTCTTCTTATCCAGAGATGTTTCAAGTTTGTCATGGTCATCAATTCTACTTTGACTGAGTCATCTTCAGTTTTCCATACCTCTGTCAGAAGTCTCAATACAATGGGAACTGAATTCCAATTATTACTTTGGGTGATGTTCCAAGACTCTAAGCCAATCCCAGTCTGTGGATCATTACTGGGCAACGGCATGCCAGAACCCGGGACACACAAACAAGTGAAGCCCCACCCATGGGATGCAGGCAGCTTACGAAACCATGCCCCCTCTGGTCTGCGGAAAAACCTCTCTTCACAGAACCAGTCCCTGGTGCCCAAAAGGTTGGGGACTGCTGCTCTAAGTTTTTCCTCCTATAGCCCTGTATGAATACAGCTAGGTCACCCTACTTAGTTCACAGGCATGATGCCTGTGATAATACACATGTTTTTGCTGTCTTCAGTCACAAACATATAGGTCCATTTCAGTGGTGGGTTTCAAAATTTTTTACTACCGGTTCTGTGGGTGTGGCTTGGTGGGCGTGGCATGGTTTGGTGGGTGTGGCTTAGTGGATGTAGCAGGGGAAGGATACTGCAAAATCCCAATTTCCTCCTGATCAGCTGGGACTTGGGAGGCAGAGAATAGATGGCCAGTCAGAGGTGGTATTTACCGGTTCTCCGAACTACTCAAAATTTCTGCTACCGGTTCTCCAGAACTGGTCAAAACCTGCTGAAACCCACTTCTGGTCCATTTGCCTTCTTTTGGGGAGCATTTAAATGGGACTGAGTGCAATCAGGGACTAAGGATCTAGCTGAGAATAGAAGTACTGGTGATCAAGTACTGATTAGAATACAAGTACTGATGATCTATAATGTAAGAATTAAAATCTGCAGGGGATTTTAAGCTGAGAGTAAGAATTTACCAATTCCCTCAGCTAGTGCTTCCAAGCCTGGAAGACTCATATGGCTTTCAGCCATATTTACTGAGCAGGACAATATTATAAAGTTGCTGCCAAAGCATTCTTCCTAATACTAAATTCTTTTTAAAATATCTCCTGTAAAACATTTATAATATTTCAACTTTTAAAACTTTAAAAGCCAGCCTCTGTGTGTTTATGTGTATATGTGTATGTTTATGTGACTGTGTATAGATGTGTATAGATAAAAATAGATATAGCAGGTTTCTCATACACATATGCAAACATTAGTAAATAAATCCTGGGGACAATATAAGCAATAATTAGATGCACTAATAATATAATTCAAGATAAGGTAGCTTCTTATGTTCACAACATAAAAAGAGAAATCAGTGAATGAGATAGAGGACCAATGAACTGGTTTGTCTTGGAAACAAACCAAACTATTTTTTGATTTAGGAAAACAATGGGCTATGTTTGAAGCCTGCTCATGCCCAGCTACCAAACATAATTCTCAGTGTTACCTTAACCACTGTTGAGGGCTTAGAACAGTGTTTAGAACAGATGCAGAATTACTTTTAACATGGTAAATGAGGGATATGATCCTTTTATTTATTTTTTTCAAACAATAGATGGCAAAAACCCTTAATTATTTACTATTCATTCATCTCAGATACATAAAAAGAGAGCAAAACACTCAAAATTACTTACCACAAGCCAGCCACTGTTCACCACATCTACATCAGTGACAGAACGATGCAATTTACCTTGCTTGCTATGATCTGCATATACCTCTGAATCAGAAGTGTAGCCACGATCTAGGCTGGTTTCATTTGGATGATAGGAGATCTCACTGTCTGATTGAGCTCCTTAAACAAATAATTAAACAAAATGGAATGAAGCAACAACTGTTAACATTGGTAGCATGCTTCTCAACAAGATAACCCATTGCCAATGACCAGTTTACCTGTATCATTCTCTGTTCTTGTAGGTTGCAGCGCTAGGGGTGGTTTCACCCCAGAACCAATGCATTCCAAGAGAGTAAAGAGTGTGTACCAGTCTTCTCCAGAGTGAATATTGGCAGCATTAGTCTTGAGAAGCTCATGAAGGCCATATGCAATCTGATGACTTGCCCTGTTTAACATGCTGGGTTTCATCATGAGCAAGATTCGCAAGGAGAGCAATACCTAGTCAGAGAGAAATCATGGTAACTACAAGAAATGTAAATTATACCTGTACCAGATTCATGTTTGTTAACTGCTAGCAGCACATTCAAGCCTGTATTATAGGAAGAATAACTAGATTTGTAATTGTATCTTCTTGCCTGGTGAACAATCACAAAGCTTTCTCTTCTGAATTTATTCCTACTTTTGAAACATGAATAAAGTAAAAAAAGGTAAGTAGTAATAAATAATAGATCTGTAATAAAATAGATCTCTGGTTATTTATTGGAGGCCACCTATCTCACTCACAGAGTGACTGATATTTAAAAATATTATATATAAAGAATATGAAAATGTAAAGTTTTAAATCTTTACAAAGTTTATGTTTAAATGAAATAGATTTGAAGTGGATGTCAGAAATGAAGGAATCACCTCAGACATTTGTTGCACCGCTATGATATTGCAAATGATATCTCCTTTCCTGACATTTATGTGGGGTAATCTATTGTTTGATCAACCTTGTGGCTTCATCTCAAAAAACTTCCATAACTTCAAACAAATGTGGAAAGAATCTGATTACTTTTTCTCATAGGAAATATTAATAATTGGCAACTTGAGCCCCTAATAAAGAAGGAGTAGAACTTTCCAAAACCCACAGCCTTTGTTATTCTAGAGAGCAATATCCTGATATGGAATGGGACAACTGGTCATGGCCACATTGCTGTGGCCACTTCACTGTGTCCACACACATCCACACCCACCCCAGCCAACCCACTGCAGCCCTGTTAAGATATTTAAATTTAGCATCTGTAGCAGTGGGGTTGTGCAGTGAGCTGGAACACACAGTTATAGTTGATTGGTTGGAGAGTGCTGGCTCCTGCGTGAAGCAATGTGCGCAGTGATTGGCTGCTGTAGGTGTGAAGAGTTTCCCTTTTTCCCTGCCTTTTTTTCCTGTGTGCCCTGTATGCTCTGTGATTTACCTCATGATGCTCTTGTTTGCCTGACTATCTTGTTTGCTGTAAATAGAGATGTAAAATATATTTATTTATATAAAACTACAAGTTCATGTCAGCGTCTCTAACTTCATTTGGACAGCTGCTATGCAATTCTGGCAGGTTATGGGCCCAGAAATGCACTGAAGCACCAGTATTATTTTCTCTGAGGTAAAAGGTTCTTTGTGAACCTGAGGGAAATTGGCCTGTAAAGACAGCCTGATGTATCTGTTACAGAAATGGGAGGATGACTTCCTTTGGCTTGTCTTATAAGATGAATAATGTCCCATGGAGCCTAAGGATGAAGGTATTTATATGGAGTGAGGATTTGTGGACAGTTGTAAGCAATTCTCCAGCAGATCTCAATGAGAAACAGAAAAGGCAAAATGGAAAAGCACTAGCCAGCATAATTTTACATGCTAACATCTGCTAGGGAATGCTGGCTTGCCCTACACAGAATTTATGTAAAAGAAGCAGAAAAGTAACTCTCACCAGAAAACTGTATAGGGCAGTGATGGCTAACCTTTTTGCCATTGCGTGCCAGGAGAGGGGTGGGTGGGTGAGGTTCGTGCGCGCGCATGCATGGCCTCAGAGTGGGGTGGGAATGGAGATTTTGCAATATCCTTCCCCTGGAGTGGGGTGGGAATGGAGATTTTGCAGTATCCTTCCCCTGCCATGCCCACATAGCCAAGCCATGCCTACAAAGCCATGCCCACAGAACCGGTAGTAAAAAAATTTGGATTTCACTACTGTAATCATTCCATTGTACAGTGCCAAGGAACAGTATACATACCATGTATTGGTATATTGTTTGATAAGATTTTATGGATACCAGATTTAGATCAAAATTTGCTGAGTGTGTCTTGCTTAAACAATGAAGGGTATGAGGTAATTTTTGCAAGGGTCATAAAGACCCTTTGTGTGCACAAAGTTTGAAACTGAACAATTGATATGTTTTGAACCACAAGGAAACTGGTGGCAGTATGCAAACAATCTTTTCTAATGAACCAAAGCATAATGAGTTTGCATATTTGTTACACAGAAGGCTGGGTCATGCAAGCTTTAAAGTATTGCAGAAAATGCCTGATCTGGCTGTAGGTTTGAATGTAAAAGATTGTGACAACTATTTGAATTGTGCAATTTGTAAGGAGGCCAAATCGAAAATATACCCTGTCAGCAAAAGAAGTGGCAGAAAATCTGAAAGAATATTTCAGTTAGTACATGCTGATTTCATTGGCCATCTCTCCCCTCCATGGGAGGAGCTAAATTTGCTTTGGTAATTGTTGATGATTTCTCAAGGTATGGCTTTTGTTATTTACTAAAAGCAAAACAAACATGTTTCAACAATTTTAGCAGTGGGTAATGTTTGTAGAGAGAAGGTATAAACAAAGTGTATGTCAATTACAAACAGACACAGGTACAGAGTTCATGTCTAGTAAGTTTCAGCAGTGGCTGAGAAAGGCATAACCTGGAGTGGCGGGGGTTAAGGGCAGCGGTAGGTTAGCTGGGGCAGGAGGGGCCACAGTGTAGTGGCTGGGGTAATGTGGCGACAGTCAATTGTCCTAGACCCATGATGGCGAACCTGTGGCACGTGTGACACAGGTGGCATGTGGAGCCATATCTGTGGGCACACGAGCGTTGCCCTAGCTCAGCTTCAGCGTGCATACGTGTGCTGGCCAGCTGATTTTCGGGCCTTCCGGGCCCACCCACCAGAAGTTGGGAAACGGGCTGTTTCTGGCCTCTGGAGAGCCTCCAGGGGGGTGGGGATGGCCGTTTCCGCTCTCCCCAGGCTCCTACAAAGCCTCTGGAGCCTGGGGAGGGCAAAAAATGGGCCTACTGGGCCCACCGTGCCATCACATGCCGAAAGTGGGGGAGAGAGTACAGGGGGGTTGCGGGCGCATGTGCAGGATGGTGGTGGGGTGCATTGAATTATGGGCATGGGCACGTGCGTGCATGACGCCCCTAGCTCCCCCTGCTTTTGTCACGCGATGACAAAAAGGTTAGCCATCACTGTCCTAGACCCTCCTGATACTACTATAGCATGGCTGAAAAGCCCTCAGTTTGGTGGAATTTGAAAAATGGTGCTAAAAAACAAATGGGTAGTCATTTCCTGTACCTTCAGAATTTTGTAATGTGATTAGAAAGCATTATTAACTATTAACTATTTTTAGTATAGTAGGAAGCATGGTTATTTATGTCAATTTTGTTGCTATACTGTCATGCTCCTACTTTAAGACAGGCGCACTAGGCTGTGTAACACCAAACCCAAGGGAGTGAGCCATTCTGCTTATTTGTTAGGTGTAATTATAAATATTTTCTGAACATGAAAAAGGAGTCTGATTGTCTTATCTGTCTACTTGATAAGATAATAGAAGGAGTAAAAACGAGAATCTCAAACTGGGAGATAGAGAGAGAGATGGAGAGATGAAGAGAGAGGGAGGGAGGAAGGGAGAGAGAATACTGTATATGTGAATATGTCCAACAGATGTCTGAAAGAACATGGAAAAAATTTGGAAATACTTCTCGTGGTGGTCAAAACGAAAAACCAAAAGAAAAGGCAGAAATTTTACCCTTAACCAGTGGTGAAATCTAAAAATCGTTGCTACTGGTTCTGTGGGCGTGGCTTGGTGGGCGTGGATTGGTGGTCATGTGACCAGGTGGGCATGCCAACTTGACATCACGTACGTCACTCACTGCTAGAGCCAGGAGCTGCACATTCTGAAGCACATTCTGTCCTTCTGAAGCCCCCAACGCTTTGAGTTTCCTTCCACCATCTGATTTGACTGCCCAAGCGAACCTCAGAGCCTTCGCTTGCCCCGCTCTCCATCCCGGAGGGCTGCGCATCCCCCGCGAATCCTCCGTACAAACTGCCCACCCCGTTTCTGCAAAAGCAGAGCCCCCCCCCGCAGGGCGATCCAAAGAGGGGAGGGGGATGCTGCAGAAAAGGCCGCCTTCCACCTGTGCCTCCCGTGCTGGCTCTGTGGGGCTTGGGGCTCCAAGGCAGCCCACTGGATTCCCATCCACCCATCCAGCCACCTGCCTGCTCTCTTTGACCACCAGCGCCACTCCAGGAACTCGGCCCGCGGAGTCCAGCACTCCAGGGGAGGGAGGCTCAGCCATGCCGCCACTTCCCAGCAGTGAAGCAGAGCAAGAGGGACAGAAGCCCCCCACGCGGGGGATGGCCAGGCCCAGCCGCACCACCAAGAGCCCGCAGCACTTTCCCTTTGCCCTGAGCAGCGGCGCTTACCTGGGCGGGCCAGTGCAGGTAGCCCTTCTTGTCACTCTACCTCCCTGCCTGGGTGCAGACATCTGCCTGCCTGCTGCCGCCATTCTTGCCACTCTACCTCCCTGCCTGGGTACAGACATCCGCCTACGTGAAGCAACCTCCCAAAGCAACTCCACCACCGTTTGCTTTCATTCTGCAATGGGAGAAGGAAGAAAGCGAACGGCAGCAGCATGGCGATGCTCCGGGAGGGCAGGCGAACCAGCCTCAATATCTGCCTGAACCAGTCCGAACTGGGAGCATTTCACCCCTGCCCTTAACATATGGACCAATGATACTTTTAGTATTGGAACATTCGCAGTAACTAATACTGAAGAGACACAACAAAATTAGTCCCTTCAGAAAACTGACATATCACACAGAACTGTATTTACCTGGGCACTTATTTCTTCTCTGCGCAGAAGTCGGATTGCCAGTCTCAATAGACCCACTACTGCTCTTTCCACTAGACAACAGTATTCCATAGCATTAATACATAAATGGTAAAGATGATCTCGCATTGCCTGCCAAACGAAAGTCACACGATCCCTATAAAGAAAGGGAAAGAAAAAGAGTATTGTGGGGAAAAAATAAATCAAACACAGGCTTTATTCCAGGCAGTTGATAGTGGGAATTTGTGATCAATGTATGTGAATGATTTATTCAGAGCCAATTTGGTTAACGTGCTGGCCTTAACTAGGGGACTATAAATTCTGGTCTTCCATTAAAGCATGGAAGCCGGCTGGGTGATTTTGGGACAGCCACTCTTAGCCCAACTCATCTCATAGGGTTGCTGCTGCAGGAGAAATAGGAGGGAGCATTATGTACCCTGCCCTGAGTTGTACAAAATAAAGGCAAGATACAAATCAAATACATAATTTAGCCAAAATTAGGGTCCGCTAATCCAGGGGTCCTCGACCTGTGGGCCATGGCCAACTACTGGGCTGTGGCCTATTGGCTGCCGGGCCACGTAAGTAGCTAGTTGATGCAAATGTGTGTGCGCAATGCATGCAAGCATTGTGAACGTCATGGGCATCACACGGGCTCTTGCAGCCCAACTTGCATGAGGGTTGTCGCAGGCGCTCGTGACTCCACACATGCAAACGTCATTGCGGGCAGTCACAGCCCCACTCCACTTATACTTGGTAAGTATAAATTGAGATGCTTGAAGAAAGTACAGAATATTTTTTGAACTATTTATAGGAGTATGTTTGATGTTAATTTTCTTAGTTGTTAAAGGGTTACTTTTGGATAGATATAGCAGACTTTAAAGAGAGCTCAATTTATCATTAATTATATTCAGCTGCTTATCAATTAAAGAGATAGTATCTGCTGTTTCTATACAACGCCTAGCCAGAAATTATTCTTGAGAGATGTTATCAGTCGATTGATAAAGAACGGCTTTCTCTCTTGCTTGTTAATACAATGCCAATATTGTAATATTAGTTACACACTGAGGTGATTAGAACTAATACACTTGGCTTTTAGTTTGATAAAGTCCATTCATGGTGAGAAGACTGAGATATTTGATGTATTTTTATTAAATGATCAATACTCAGATGTATCAGTAAAGAAAATTCTATTTAAATCTTTGGCTTATAGGAACAGTTTTGTACCTTCAATGAAATGTTAACTTTACAGGATTTTCCCCTTTTATATGTGTGCATGCGTATAAAGGACAGCAGATAATTAACACATGTATCTGAGATACACATAGACATAAACATAATTAGTCCTATGAGAGCTATTTACAAGTTTTTGCTGGAAACCCAGTGGTGGGATGCAACCGGTTTAACAACCTGTTTGATGAGTGCGCGCTTTGCCCGCGCATGTGCTATGTTCAAAAACTGCCCATTTTAAGCTTAAAAACTTACCTTCTAGGTCAGCTGGTGAGTAAAACAGCTGATGTGCGGCAATCTGCTGTGCCGTGCGAATCAGCTGGGCTAATAAACAGGGAAATATAGGACAGAAAAGGGCAGGGGCGGGACCAACTGCTCATCGGAACTACCAGTTTGCCCGAACCGGCTGAATCCCAGCCCTGAAGAAACCAGCATATATTTCAGCTTTCTGGCAAAAAATATCTATTGCAAATAATGACTGCTGCAAAAAAGACATTTAATAACTGCTGCAAAAGAGATGGTAAAATCCAGTGTGGTCATGGGGTAAACCACTTAAAACTGACAAGACTTACAAACGTAATTCTGGATTCAATTACAATTGTAAATAAAGTAGTACCAGTAATTAGTGGAAAGGTATCACTTTCCAGTCAGCTTCACACTAAAAAAATGGGTCACATATGGGGATAAATTGGTGGAGATCAAGCAGAATTTGATATGAAAATCTCTCCATCACAGTTGCCTCATTATGTGCCAATAAGTCATCATTGACTCTTAGTAACAATATAGATTTTCTCCATGGCATTAAGAATGGAATAATCAAATTTAATTGCTATTAGGGATACTCTTTAACCTGACAATCTACCTGAGTTTCCAGTTTGGAGAATGCTATCAAGTAAAATTGAAAGTTCTCAACAGTTTTTGCCATATCAAAGGGTGAAATGGCATCTATATGGCTCACCTATTTTCCAGCGCAATCCTCAAAAGCATCTCCAAACAGAAAGCACAGTCTTCTTCATCATAGGTTTCCTCATCAGGAGACACAGATATGAGAGCCTGAAGCAGCCAAAGAATATTCACATATATAACATTGGTATAAAATTGAGAACAGATACAATAAGCTGCTGTAATGATCATGGAAATGAGAAGTCAAACATGTTTTGTAGGTGTAATATTATACATTTATTTTTTAACATTTGTCAGCTCCTCTGATTGGAAGATGTGGACAGCTCACAATTATCAAACAGATTTTAAAAATATTATTACCCCAATAGCATAAAAACAGCATAAATCAGTGATTAGATGTCTGGGTGTCAGCGTTCCAAATTATGATCTCCTCCAGCGCTGACATGAATGAAAGAGGGAGAAGCTTTGCTTTAATGCTGAGATGAACTTTTACCTAGTTTCCTGCTCTTCAGTAGATAGCGTTACCTGGGTGACAGAGGGAGGGGGGAATTCCTGTGAAAAGAAAGTGCTTGGGACGAAGAGATGGATCTGCACGATGGCCAATGAGACATTGGGGTTGAAGAACGGAAAGGGAGGGGTTTGGAAGGAGGTGCCAGTTTTGGCTGCACAAAGAGTTCAGGGATGTCGTTCTTTCTATTCTTAAATAAAAAAAAGATTCATTAGAGACCTTGCGTTTGAGAATGAAGTTTATTTAAGATAGCAGCGAAACCTGAGAGACAGCCAAAACTCCTCCAAAGCCAGGCTGGCTGATTTTAAATCATCCCGCTCCCTCCCAGACGTGTGGTCGGACTGGAGGTTATCTCCGGACACTATGGCTGAAGCCAAGTTCTCGGAGGAAAGCCTGCTTCAAGCAACGGGAGGAGAACCGGCCGTGATCCCAGCCAGTTTGGGAAGTACGAAGGCTCAACTCTCCCCGCCTTCCCCCTCGGCAGAACTTCAAGCCAAGAAACAGGAGCCAGATTAAGTACCCGGGGACTGTGCCAAAAGCCTCCGAGGCTGAATTTCTCTTTCCAAACGTGAAAGATAAAGGGAAACCCCTAAGTGAATTGGGAAGGGCGACCTGGCTATGGGAATGGGAGCAAGCCAGGAAACAAACTAAGCACCAAGAAATTTTAAAGAAGCCACTCGAAAGCCCCATAGATGGGTTGAAAGAGAAATTTGACCGTGCCACCCTTCAGGGCGAGGGGCCATCTTGCAGACCCAAAGAAAAGAGAGAACCAGTCTGGGCTGTTGATCCAAGAGGCCGTAGGCCAAAGCGCAGGACTTCCCCCTCCACAGCAGAAGGAGGAGGAGCCCAACGACGCATCCATGGGTTCCCCCCCTCCCAGCAAGCAGCGGAGCCTAGATGAGGCAGTACCTCCCTACCCCAGGATGAGAGACGAGGCAGAGGACTATCAACACCAAGGCCGGCCCTACAGAGCTCAGCACAGAGAGGAGAGGGCAGAGAGGGAGGAACCACCCAAGTTCAGAGGGAAGTTCGATGGTGACCCAGACAATCTCGCCCAATTCCTCGATTCAGCTGAGATATACATAGAGCGTTTTGGACACCTCTACCCTTTCCCCAGAGCCCTAGTGAATGCTATTTCGGAAGGGTTGGAGGGAGAAGCAAAGAGGTGGTCAGCATCCCTCTACAAAAACAGGGCCCCCCAGCTGCAAGATGCAGACAGGTTCTTGCAACTATTGAGAGCCCGTTATGAGGAGGAGGAGGAGGACCCCTATGTGGAAGACGAGCTCAGAAACCTAATGCAGAAGGGGAAGCCTATCAGAGAGCATATCCGTAAATTCAGGAGAGTCATTGGGACACTGCCTCCCCTACCAGAGCGATTGCTGGTGTATTTTTTTAGAACAAGCCTAGATAAGAGAATTTCCCAAGTGACTGCCTATCAGGACATCCCAAACCGACTCTCCGAATGGTTCCGGGTAGCGATAAAAGTCAATAGAGGGCTGCGGGCAAATGACATGTTGAAACCACCAGATGGAAAGGAGAGAGGCCGACCGGACCAGAGACCACCCAACAGATGAAAAACCCCAACATCACAGCCCACCCAGAGGCCAGCCGCCCCACGGAACCCACTGAAATGCTACAGATGTGGGGGGAGTGGCCACATAGCAGCAAGATGTGGAACCCCTAGACCAGGACCAGCTCCACCGCCCAAAGGACGACCGGAACGAGGGCCCAAATGCGCCACCCACGTACCACAGAAAGCTCCCCAAAGCCCGGAGTTTTTCGCTCACCTGACCGAAACCAGAGGAATCCCAGATGAGGGAGATCAGTCCCCCGAACCCTATGACACGGAGGACAAAGGTGAGGACGACCCGATGGTGAGTGGACCCGTCCATCCTTTTCTTTTCTCCATACGCCTAACAGCCCCCAAAACAGGGACCCAAGGGACTTTCCAAGCCCTAATAGACTCTGGTAGCACAAGACGCCTAATTAACCTACCCACAGTTCTAAAATTGGGGATCCGAGCTAAAAAGCTCAAACAACCAATTCGCTTTGAGCAAGTTAATGGGTCCCTAGTGGGGGGAGCGTACGCCACACACTTGACTGAACCTGTGAGACTGGAACTAGCAGATCACTGGGAAACGATCCGCTTCATAATAGCCCCCAAGATGACAGACCCAGTCATATTGGGACTCTCGTGGTTGGACAAATGGGGCCCAATCATTTGGTGGCAAGAGGGGACCCGCAGGCTGAGGATAGCAAAGGCCCCCCAACCCCTACCCCCCCGACCAGGAGAATTCCCTCCTATGCTGAGACCCCAAAGCTGCCTGCCACTGCAGAAGAAAACACCGCCAACACAAGGGTCCCTCCCAGAAGGTACAGCGAAGCAATTGGCAGCCGCACCCGCCAGCGCTTGTAATACAAATCAGATCCCAGGGGAGTACCAAGACCTTGCAGAGGTATTCAGCGAGGCCGAGTGTGACATTCTACCCCCCCACCGCGAGACCGATTGTGCCATCGAGATTATCCCGGGAGCGAAACTATCCAAACCTAAAATGTATGCCATGACGCCCCGTGAAATGCAGGAAATGCGGGACTACATAGACAAGAACTTACGAAGGGGATTTATTGAGCCAGTAAAACCAAGGATAGCGGCGCCGGTCCTTTTTAAAGAGAAAAAGGATGGCTCTATGAGACTGGTGGTCGATTTTTGAAGTATCAACGCCGTTTGCGTACACAACTTATACCCCCTCCCCCTCATGAAGGACATGCTAGCCCACCTAGCTAAAGGAAAAGTCTTCACCAAACTAGACCTTCGAGAAGCTTATTACCGAGTACGCATCAAGGCAGGAGATGAATGGAAAACAGCATTCAACTGTCTCCTGGGTAGTTTCCAGTTCAAGGTAATGCCCTTTGGATTGCAAGGAGCCCCGGCAGTGTTCATGCAGTTGATAAATGAAGTCCTACATTAGCACCTTTACAAAGGGGTCCTCGTCTACCTGGACGATATTCTTATCTACACGGAGACCATAGACGAACATATACCCCTCGTCCGCCAAGTGCTGGAAAAACTGCTGAGGGCAAACCTGTATGTCAAACTGTCAAAATGCGATTTCCACCAATCACGGTTAGACTACCTAGGCTACCGAGTATCAAACGAGGGGATAGAAATGGACCCAGCCAAGGTCCAATCAGTTCTACAATGGCAGCCCCCTCGCACCCGCAGACAACTGCAAAGCTTCCTAGGTTTAGCGAACTTTTACAGACAATTCATCCCCTCGTTCGCAAAAATTGCCAAACCTTTGATGAACCTCCTAAAGACAGGAAGCCCAATGACGAAACCCCACCCGGGACAACCCCTACAGTGGGATCTGACCTGCCAACAGGCATTCAAGACGCTAAAAGGAATGTTTGCGAAAGAACCTGTCTTAAAACACCCTGATCCTGAACAGCCTTTCGTCATCCAAGCAGATGCAAGTGATGTGGCAGTAGGAGCCGTTTTACTCCAAAAGAACAGCCAAGGTGATCTACAACCCTGCACCTACACCTCCCGCAAACTCACCGACACGCAGAGGTGATGAGTGGCGTGGGAGAGGGAAGCATTTGCAGTAAGATGGGTGTTGTTGACCTGACGGCACCTACTAGAGGGAGGCCAGAAACCATTTGAAGTCTGGACTGATCATAAAAACCTGGAGGCCCTAAAAACCCCATGGAAACTGTCGCCCAGGCAAGTCCAGTGGGCTCAATACTTCAATCGTTTCAATTTCGAGCTTAAGCACATCCCAGGAGGGAGGAATTTCCTGGCTGACGCCCTCTCCCGGATGCCCCAATGCAACAGTGAGCGGGAGCAGGTAGTGAATGCCATCATCCCCTCCACCCAAGCAGCGGCTCAAGTGATCACCAGACGGCAAGAACGTGACCAGCAGGGCCAACTCGCAAGTGACTTAACTGCAAAATTAAAAAATGAAACACTGACAGACCCCTGGTTCCGAGACAATCAACATCTCTTGACAAAAAGGGATGACCTAGCATGGAAAGGGACAAAGCTCTATGTCCCACAGACTTTACGCACCCTTATTCTCAAGAGGAGCCACGACGTTAAACCAGCGGGACACTTCGGGTTCCTAAAGACTCTGCACCTAGTACGAAGGCAGTTCTGGTGGCCCCATATGAGAAAGGACGTAGACAGTTATGTAAAAAGCTGCACCATTTGTGCCACGATGAAGACAAGACCAGGGTGCCCGCCTGGACTGTTGCAACCAGTAGCTAAGCCAACAAGACCATGGGAGGAGATTGCGATGGACTTCATAGTAGACCTACCGAGGAGTAGTGGGAATACAGTGATCTGGACTGTAATAGACTTATTCTCCAAACAGGCACACTTCATTCCTTGCAGCAGACTGCCCTCAGCCCGCCAGTTATCCAAACTGTTCCTGAAACACATCTACCGCCTGCATGGAGTCCCCAGGAGAATCATCTCCGACCGAGGGGTCCAGTTCACAGCAAAGTTCTGGAGGGAGTTCCTACGATCCGTAGGGTCATCCCAAGGGCTCAGCTCAGCATTTCACCCGAGCACCAATGGGGGAGTAGAAAGACTGAACGCTATTATAGAACAGTACTTAAGATGCTACGTCGACTACCAGCA